AAAAAAAAAACACAAAAGGTGTCAGCACAGAAAACCAGAGACAGACAAACATGCTCACGGTTGTTTGCCAAACTTTTATTATTTTTTAAATTATGCATTCGTTGTAGAAAAATCAGAAAATACAGATAAGCAATACAACAAAATTTAATTAGCCATAATCTTGCCACCTGGAGACAGACACTACCAGATTTTTCCACACATATAAACTTGATTTTTTCAAAGTGCATGCATGCTGTACAAATTATTTTGCAATTTGCTTTTCTCACTCAACAATATGTTGTGAACATCTTTCCATATCAATAAATATTTATCTACATCATCATTTTAACAGCTGCATGGTTTCCCGCTGTATGCATTCATTTAACCAAGCCCTATCTCTGGACAGTATGATCTCTGTTCCTCTTTTTTTGTTCTAAACCACTCTCTGCTTCACATCTGCCCTAGGCAGACACAGCCAAGAGAGACAGGAAAACCCTCAGCCTTCGCAGCCTCTTTCCCTCCTCCTAGCCTGGCTCAGTCCCCATCTTATGGGGCCTTCTCTCCTGCTTCCCCAAGCAGAAGACCCCAACATCCAAAGCCTAAGGATAAATCTTAGGCTGCTTACATGGAAGGATGCTGCTGGCACAGAGTGAGGTGACCAGACACCCCTTACAGATGTCTAAAGCCAAGCCATGCCTTGCTTCAAGCCAACTTGGGGACAAGATGACCTCTTTATGTCCCTCCCTTGCATCAGAATCTGACAGATAACCTTCTGCCTACAGAGCAAAGCCCAAATGCCTCTGTTGAGGACAGATCAAGCCTGCATCCGGCCTCAACTGCCACATGAGGTGCCTGGTGTTTGTCAAATCCACCAGCCTCTGCTGCCTACTGGCTCCACTTGTGCCACTGCCCCTTGCCTGTGCCTAGCACAGCATAGTGGTCACCAAACTGAGTGGGACAAAGAGAGGATGAGTCTCTCTGACTGACCCTGGTGACCACCCGGTCTGTCCATCCATACCCCATGCCTGAGGATGGGAACTGAGCCCAGTGGCCACTAGATGGCAGTGCTCAGCTGCCCAGGTTCCAGTGGCCACCAAGCCACAGCGGCTCAGGGGAAGGGAGACCGCAGATTTCACTGAGGTAGGGTAAGTGGGTTCTCTAGAACTCGGGTTTGTATCACCCAGAGGCATTGCCCCTTTATTCTCTAGATTTCTCTCTGATTGCTATGCAGTTCCCTCCAGGAGAGGGCGCAAAGCCTTGGCCACAAGTAGTTGTGAAGTCTTGAATAACTTCAGGAACCTTCCCTGAATCTCCATTTCCATTTCTATAAAAATGAGGACTCACCATACCTACTCCCAAGCAAGGTAGTTGTGAGGATAATATCAAAAGCTGAACACAGCAGCTTCTTGACAAATCACAGCACACCTACCAGGTGCCTTACTTGTCTACATATTAGCACATCTGTGATGGGGGTAGCTGAGAGGGATGGGAGCTGGGTCTTCTGTGGGGGGGAGCTGTCATGTCTTACTGACTCCACCGGGAGTAGGTGGGGACCCCTCCTCAAGGCCAGTTACTTGGACAGGACAAAAGGGCTGCAGCTAGTGAAGGAAGGGTGGGAGTCAGCACCATTTACCCCTAGATCAGCTATCCCAAGGATATGTGCAAATTATCTTTGCCCTGGAGTCTCATTTGAGTAAAAGCTGTTTCCCAACCTGCTTGTTTGTTTCCCTAACCCCATGGGCTCTGTTTCCTCTATCCTTGCCCTTCCCCACCCCCAGGCTTAAGCCCATGGTCTATGCAGGGTGAGAAGCTCTTGAGGAGTCCATGCCTCCTGTGGGTATAGGTCTCAGCTAAGGCTTCCTGAGGAGAGGACCACGATGAAGGCATTCTGATATTAGGACCTATGTCTTCCCCTAAGTGGGGTCTAAGGACAGGGCTGCTCCCCAAGACTCACCCACAGGACAGGAGCCATCCCTTCCCCCTGGATGGGAGCTCCCTAATGTGAGAATCCACAGTTAGCTGTCAGATGGATATTCCTGGAGGGCAGGGGCTGTCTCCCTATTCACTTGGACAGGGCGCCTCAGGGATGGGACCATTCCTTCCCATCCTTAGCCTGTGTCCAGCCAGGCTGTGCTGGTTGAGGACTGACTTCTGTGGCTGTGGTATGATTCCTGGTTGCACTTCAAGATCCTTCCCCTTGCCTGGACCCTCTCACTTGCTGTTGGTGGCATCAGCTCACTCCCCTTCATAGTTCCCAGGGGGCTGGTTTCTGCCTTGGGGTTAACAAACTCCCTTTCTCCCTCACTTCTCCCTAGCCCAGGCAGGCACTCCAGTCCACCCCCTCCCCACACCTTCTATTCTCTAACCCTGAGATCAGCTTTTTAATTGCTTCCCCAGATCTGCACTGCTTCCTGCTCCTCTCCATCTCCTTGCCTGATTGGATCCCTCCAGAGGTTGGAGGGTGAAAGGCAGGCAAGGTGGGGACCATATGTGGCCCAGGTGGGAGAAGAGGGCTGGTGGCTGGGCTATTTCCCATCCAGCAGTCCTCCCACAGACAGGATGAGAATGGGGGCACAGGGGACTGCAGGTGAGCTGGGGGAACCCTTGGAGTGAGCTAGAAAATATATCCAGTTTCCAGAAACTTGGGTGACTCTCCTTTACCTACAACCTTCATCTCAAGTCCTCCTGGATCCCTCTTTACAAAAGAACCATAGAGGAAGGGAAGAAAACCAGGACCCCCCCCTACAACATAACCAAAGGGACATTCCTGGGGAAATAGTAAATGCCAAGGAGGCTCTCTAGGTGGTAATGAAGTCTGCTGGGGGGCTGTGCTGATGGCTAGGGGTACAAGGGGCCCCAAAGAGAAGATCCAGTGCCTTATCCTTGGCAGGTACCAACATTGATGGAGGTTTTGGCTTACACTGAAGTGAGAGGGACAGGAGCCATCCTGCATGCAGGGACCATGTCCTGTTCTCTTGTGTTTTCAGCCATGGTACTGACCCTGGTTCTGTGAACTGGGCAGGAATTTGTACCCCTGGGTGGGGGTCCAGGCATGAGCCATGGGGACTAAAGCAAGCAAGAAAGTGGGTGCACAGGGTTTGGGAAGACAAGACTTCTGAAGTGAAGTGAGGGGTTCTGCCCAGGCCTTCAAGGTGGAAGAGGCAGGGCAAGGCAGTGAGAAGGAGTATTAATTAGACCAGGCTGGGCCTGCGGTGGATGGGGCAGCAGCCATCGATTGCCATGTCTTGTGGCTGACTCTCTTCATGTAAGAACAATCCAATCTCAGAGTCTTACCCCCACCCACAGAGGTCAGCTGGGAGCTGGCTGTCAGCTCGCTGCCCCCCTGAGCCTTGAGAGCTCCCTGCAGAGCTTGGAGCAGCCAGGCTGCCTGTCGGTGTGGGACACCACAAAGCGAACACTCTCAGCCTGACCTCCTGTGATTGAGGGCAGGAGCCACACGTGCTTAACTCCATTGACACAGAGTCTTTGTGCATTTAATGGGTCACCCGAGAGCACATTTCATACCACAGAGCCACAAATGTTTGCTGAGGAAGTGGCTGGCCGCAGAACATCCTTGTCAAGAGTGACCTCTTCCACTTGCAAGCTGCCCCGGGTCCAAGCAAGTTCTACCTCATGCAGTGGACCCTATCGTGTGAAGGTTGCCCTCCTGGCTCTAGTTACCAGCTGGCTTGCCCTGTGCCAGCTGCCTCTGTACTTGCAGGGGTGACAGTGATGATCAAATGAGATAATATATGTGAGGGCCCCAGGAAATGGGGGAGCTTATTCAATTTGAATCCAACCAACATTCAGCAAGGCCTCCTGAGGTCAAGGCACCCTGCCAGGCCGCTGGGGGCTATAGATGACACTGCTTCTGTAGAAATCATGGTACACAGGCAGGGGAAACTCATTAGGACTAATTGGAGAGGAGGGAACCCCAGGCACAGGAAAAGAAATGGTATCTGTTCACTTCCAAAAGGAAGCAGTTTGGTGTAATGCAAAGAACCAGACCCTAGATCCTGAACACTTGTGGTCTAACTCTGGGTAAGTTTCCCCATCTATTTCCTGATTACCTACCTCATGAAGTCACAAAGCTTTGTGAAGAGGCCTGGCAGCCAGTAGGAACTTGTGGAGGGGCTCACTGGGTCAAGGGGGAGGAGGCTGCTCCCCCCAAACAGCTAGGACTCATTTCAAATTTGCACTGTTATTTATACATTACTTGCAATGTGCTAAATACCTTTAACATGTTTGTTTTCAGAATCAGGTTAAACACAGACTACTGTAATTTTGTTTACATTATTAATTTGTTCAACCACCCATGTCTTCATGGGGAGAACAGAGGTAAATGTGTGTTGAACTGTCAAACTGTCATACAGTTCAAATGAGTGGAGATGAAAGTCACAATCTAGGTGGTGGGGGTGAGGGCAGGGGCAGACTGCATGGCTCACACTGATGTGGGCTTAGCTTAGATCCTCATCTAAGACCTGGGGACCACTGAAAATGCTCTCCCTGATAAGACTCCTAGCAACCTATCCACAAGGCTGCAGAAGGACAGAATAGACCTGCAGACCCGTAATTGCTTCTAAACTTGTTGAGGAACAGAGACTCTTAGGGGTAGATGGAGCTGTAGAGTTAAATCAGGGCTTAGCTTCAGGCACAGGGCTGCTGGGCGAGGCACAGTGGGAATTACTTTATATACTTTATATACTCAAGTTTCTCAAGTGTTTTTTTTGTTGTTGTTGTTGTTGTTGTTGCAGTTTTTGGCCAGGGCAGGCTTGAACCCGCCACTTCCAGTACATGGGGCTGGCGCCCTACTCCTTGAGCTATAGGTGCCACTGGCTTCTCGTTTTGGGGTTGTTTTTTTTTGAGACAAAGTCTTATTATGTTACCCTCAGTAGAGTGCTGTGGTGTCATAGCTTACAGCAATCTCAGACTCTTGGGCTCAAGTGATTCTCTTGCCTCAACCTCCCAAATAGCTGGGACTACAGGCGCCCGCCCACGCCTGGCTATTTTTAGAGATGAAGTGTCCCTCTGGTTCAGGCTGGTCTCAAACCTATGAGCTCAGGCAATCCACCAGTCTCAGCCTCCCAGAGTGCTAGGATTATAGGTGTGAGCCAACACACCTGGCCTCAAGTTTTTTTTTGTTTCTTTTTTGAGACAGAGTAGAGTGGGTAGAGTGTCATAGCATTATAGCTCACAGTAACCTCAAACTCTTGCCTCAGCCTCCCAAGTAGCTGGCACTATAGGCACCCACCAAATGCCTGGCTACTTTGTTTTTCTATTTTTAGTAGAGACGGGGGTGTCATTCTTACTCAGGCTAGTCTTGAACTCCTGAGCTCAGGCAATCCACCCTCCTCAGCTTCCCAGAGTGCTGGGATTACAGGTGTGAGCTACCAGGCCCAGCCATTTCTTGAGGTCTTAAAGAGAGGCAAGGTGAGAAAGAGAAGGTGTTGCTGTCCTACCTAGGTGTACAGAGAGACACTCACCAAGGATGGAGATGGTTTATTATTATTACAAAAAATATATCTACATCATATGTGTATTTATATATATGCATATGTGCAGAAATAAAGGATCAGAGGTTATAAAGCTTAAGTATTACTACATTTATATCTAGGTAGTAACATTGGGCTGGATAGCCCTTTCCTTTTTATATTTCCTTTTACACTGAATATGCATCCTGTCCCCAACAGGGTAAAAGCACTAAGGGGTCTTCATTTGGAAATCAAGGCATCATCCCCAGGACTGCAGCCAGAGACTGGGCGGTGGGGGGAGATGCCTTTCTGGGAGAAACCCAGAAGAATGAAGCTAGGACTCCCCCAATCCCATCCTTCTCCTCCTCCACTGCCTGGGGGCCATCACTGTGCAGGGCTCTGTGTTAGACATGGGCCAGGAAGACAGTCCAAAAGAGCCCCCTGCATGCTTAGAGGGCATCATAGATGAGGGGGAGACATGATAGCACCCTTTAAAATAGCAACATGTTAACACTCACAAATGAAAATGTACCTGCTGAGAAGCTGAGCGCGATAAGAGATTAATAAAGAGTGAGTAGCGGAATGAATGGTTGGAGGAGGGGTGTTAATAAAGGAAAGATGTGTGGGTGTTAACTGCTCAGAGGTAAAGGCGGCAGGTCAGGGCTCCCTGTGTAGGTGGCTCCAGGGACCAAGTGGGGGTGGTTTGCCTACAAGGGCTGGTGGGTCAGGACACATTGGTGGTCACACACCCTGGTGGTCAGGACACCTACAGTGCTCTCCCAACCCCAGTGGGTTCCTTCCTGCTCCTCCTGTCCCCAGGGTGGAGGGGACTTGCTGGCAGCTCTATAGGCCAGGTGGATGGGGGAGCTGCAAGGAGGAAGAAGGAAAGTGAGGCACTGTCTCATTGTCCCCCTTATCCCAGCCTACCACCCACCTATCTCATCAGTGTCCCCAAGATGCTTAGCAGCATCTCAGGCCCTTCTTTCATCCAGGTCTCAGGCCACTCTATCCTTTCCTACTTCTTGTCTTCATCTGCTACCAAGGCCTAGGCCATCCCTGTCCCTAGTTCCAGTCACCTGGGATTGTGAGGGGGTCAGCTGGCCTCTTCAAGGTGCTGCTGGGGAGGCGGGCAATGCGGCTGTGGCCCCGGGAGACTGAGGAACTGAGGGAGGAACGGGAAGGAAGGTAGGAGGTTAGCTCTGGGATATGGGGGTATGTGCTGGGGATGGGAGTAGGTGCTAGACACAGCCTTGAAAGCAGGGGTGGGTGAACACCAGCAAGAGCTTCCCCAATCTGAGGGCAGGACAGACTGGCAGGAGAAGAGGCTTGTGGGATTTGGGACATGGTAGAGGAGGAGTGGTGATGGGGTAGGCAGTCCTATCACAGGACCAACCAATCAATCCTGAACATATCCCTTGAGGACAGGGGGCCTATGGCCCCCTTCAGTTCTAGGCTGATCCCAGAATAACAAGGGCCAAGGAAACTTCAGTCAGAAAACCAGTTGCTGGCCCTGCTCACAGACCTCAGCTGCTGCTCCGGGGGGGGCCTAGAGGCACACTGGGGGCATACAGCTGGCCCAGATGTCCACTGCCTTGGTGAGAGTTCTTTCTCTGGATACCTCCCAAACCTCACCTCACAATACGCCTCTTCTTATAGGCTGAAGTTCCAGGGACGGAAGATGTTGGCTTGGGGCCCTTCATGGTGAACAGCACCGGTCCACTGGGGAGAGAGGAAGGGGAAGGGAGGCAGATCAGCAGGGAACCAGAAATGGTGCCAGCTACTGCCTCCCTCCAACCCCTAATGGGAGGAAGAGGGAGGTGGCTGGATGAGATGACCTCTGAGGTTTCCTCCTACTACAAGATGGACTCCTTTCCCTGCCTCACTTGGCCCAGGCTGACAGCTGAGTGACAGGCCTGCTCTGGGAGGACATCCAGATGTCAGTTTCTGGCGCGTCCAGGGAACCAGAGTTCAAACAATTTCACCCTTCCACCTGCCCAGCTCTGAGCTTGTTACTGAGAACTGGTTTGTGGGCTATGGCAGGGGCGGGGGATGCAGGTGGGCAGCTGCTGGCCTCTATCTCACAAATCCAGGTCATTCTACCACTCGTTCTTGGCCTTGAACTGTCCTGAGCTGGCTGCTGTTCCCCTACCCTGCTATGTGGGTGGAAGGTGAGGGTGAGAGCTTCATCTTCTCACTGGGAAAAACTGAATAAAGTTTTCTGAGGACCCCCTCTCCTATTCCAAATGCTGGGCTGGAGAGCAAAACCTGGGGATGGGAGTGGCAGGAATAGATATTTCCCAAGGAAACACTGAACTCAGGGCCAGAGGGCCCATGCAAGGCAGAGGAGCAGATGGCACTGGGCTCCCCTCACCCAATCCTGCTCCCTGCTGACTCTTCCCAAGCTGGGGTCCCATTAGCTACCCATGAGTGTGCTGCAAGCCATCACAGAGCTAGTGGCTTTGCAGTATGGACTGACAAGGCACAGGCCCCCAAGACAGCCCTTCCTCCCTAGCAACTGTATATCCTGCTTCCTTGGGCCCAAGGAGGGAAGCTGATCATGACCAAAGGGAAACAGCAAATATCCAGTTTCAGGAGTCAGGTTTTTCTCCACTCTCCTTGGAAGCATCACTGTCCCTTGCTGGCCACTGATCCCCTGCTGGGAGGGTTAGGAATGAGGCTAAAAAGAAGACCCACCTGGGCATGAAGGGCTGGTCCAGCCTGTTCAGCTCCTGGGGTACTGTCTCCCATCCAATGCCTTCAAGGAAACTGAGCTTTGAGGGGGTCTCCTCAGAGAGATCAAAGGTGGCATTGAGATTGCCAGTGGGCAGAGCCAAAGGGGTGGAACAGTTCTGCATGACAGATTGGCCCAGGGGCACCCGGCTTTTGATGACTGTGGCTGGGCATACATGAGAGGAATGGCAAGGGGAGGAGGCCCTTCCACTTTTGGGGGTGCTGGGCCCAAATGAAGGCTGGGCCTCAGGCAGGGACCCTCTCTTTAGGCAAGGCAGGAAGGACTGGCGCTGGCACTTGGTTCTCTGCTTTGGGGCTGGGGGACTGTCTGGCTCCAGGGGACTGGGTCTCCTCCTCCTCTTCTTCTCTGTGGGACATTGGGATGTCTGGGCTGGGGTGCACTCAGGCCCAGGTAGGATCCCCAGAGTGTGCATGGGGCCATTCAGTCGCCTTGCCATGGTCCGGGTCACGGGGCCAGAGTACCTTGGAGACTCTGAGTAAAGAGAAGGAAGCATTGAGGTAGATCAGGGACTGGCCAGAATGACGCAAAGTTTGTAGAACTTGAGCCACTAATTCTTTGGGTGTCTGGGGGCTTCTCTGTGTACAGAAGCCCACAGTCCCAAGAGTCTAGCTTCCTAACATAGTGAAACAAGCAACTCTGCCCCAGTCAGGCCTTGGAGACAGCATCAATAGACAGGTAGAACAGGGTGCGACTCACTTGACTCTGAATGCAGCTCCTGAGCAAAACGTGTCCCTCCTGTCAGCCCAGGAGGCCTGGAGGTCTCTGCCCCAGGCTCAATTTTTTCCTGTTGCACCAGTTGCCGCAGGGTCTCAAACTCTGTGATCATGTCGGGTGTCAGGAGGTTGGCTGCTTGGAGCAGGGTATACTGCTGCTGGGCTAGGCGCAGCACCTTCAGAGCCAACCTAGAACAGAGGGAAGGGGACCCCTCACTCAGACATAGCCTAACCTGGATCTATGGTGCTGTATGTCTGTCCCCACCACTCCAGATGTGGTTGAGGAACACAATTGGGTGGTGTCCTGGCTTCCTCCTGTCTTGTCCCAGACTGGCTGGCCAGCCTCGCCACCCTCCCAGCTCCCACTCTGCCCTACCCTTGCTGAAGACCAAGGCTGGCCAAGATGGCCACAGGTAATGGTAGGAGGTGTCAGCATTATACATGCCCCATGACATTGACCTGGGAAGTAGGGAAAGGGCACTAAGTGGCCTTGGCCTTGGAAAAGCTGAGTTTCTGCTTAGCTCTGCCACTTACTTGTGCTGTGATCATAATTTACACTACAGGCAATGCAAAGTAGCAGTTAAGAACCCAGCTCAAGCTGGGTGCAGAGGCTCACGCTGGGTTCAGTGGCTCATGCCTGTAATCTGAGCACTCTGGGAGGGTGAGGTGTGAGGATCACTGAAGCTCAGGAGTTTGAAACCAGCATAAGAAAGAGCAAGACCTTATCTCTACTAAAAATAGAAAAATTAGTCCAACATCATGGTGGGCACTTATAGTGCCAGGTACTTGGGAGGCCGAGGGAGGAGGATCACTTGAACCCAGGAATTTGAGGTTGCTGTGAGCTAGGGCTGATGCCATAGCACTCTAGCCTGGGCAATAGAGTGAGACTTGCTCAAATCAGACTGTGAGCTTCCTGCTCAAATCCTGGCTCCAGCATCTCTCTGCTATGTGATCTTGGATGCATTGGTTAACCTCAGTCTCACTCTTTAAAACATATCTCTGTTGGAAAGATTAAACAAGTTATTTTACATACAAAATGTTTAAAGGGGCTTGGTGCCTATGGCTCAAGTGACTAAGATGCCAGCCACATACACCTAAGGTGGAGGGTTCGAATCCAGCCTGGACCCGCCAAACAACAATCACGGCTGCAACCAAAAACTAGCCAGGCGTTGTGGTGGGCGCCTGTGGTCCTAGCTACTTGGGAGGCTGAGGCAAGAGACTCACTTGAGCCCAGGAGTTGGAAGTTGCTGTGAGCTGTGATGCCACAGCACTCTACCCAGGGGGACAGCTTGAGGCTGTCTCAAAAAAAAAAAAATGTTTAAAGGATACTTGGCATATTGTAAGCACGATAAGTTCGGCTAGCTATTGTTGGGTTTTTTTGTAGAGACAGAGTCTTATTTTGTCACCCTCGGTAGAGTGCTGTGGTATCACACAGCTCACAGCAAACTCCAACTCCTGGGCTTAGGCTATTCTCCTGCCTCAGACTCCTGAGTAACTGGGACTACAAGCACCCATCACAATGCCTGGCTATTTTTTTGTTGCAGTTTGGCCGGGACCAGGTTTGAAACGGCCACCCTCGGTATATGAGGCTGGTGCCCTACCCACTGAGCCACAGGTGCCGCCCTTGGCTAGCTACCGTTTTCTGCAAAATAATACCATCCACCTTGTTAGGATAAGAGGGAATCAAATAAGATAGGCTATGTTCATCTTGGTCCTGACAAGATCCTCAAAAATGCATCCAGTCTGTGCTTTCTATTTAATGGCTGGGATCCTGGAAAAGTATTTGTGAATCAACGCATATTTCACATGCACTGGGGGGCTATTTAAAGGAAATTATGGGGGTAATATGATTACCAATGCTGTAAATTTAGATTCTAATAAAGCAAATTTTTTTTCTGTAAGGCACACACCTATGATAAAAGAACAAACACAATTATCTCGGTAGGGATTATTCATGGAAAATGATTTAGCCTCAGGTAGCTCTACCTGCCTGGCCATCTCTGAACCCCCTCCACTGCCCTCAGTCAGTGTGTGCTCCGGGAACACAAACTCATTTTATAAAGCAGCCTCAAGGCCTTTTTGAAAGAAGACAGGATATAAATTAAAAAAGACACAGCAGACTCATTCTATATCTGCCTGAGACATGCATTATAAGGAAGATTAGACTATGGAGAAGAGTTGAGAGTTCGGGGGAAATGCATTGTCTCCATCCTTCTGGCCCTGTGACCCTGAGTGGAGGTCTCAGTACTCCCTCTGACATCTCATGTGTCAGATGGACACTTGGTTTCAATCAGGGGTTTTCAAATTAGGTTTCAAAAATCCATGAGACAGAGCAACCCTGTTTTGTCTGTTCTACACATTAGACTTCAAGCATGGGATTTCATGGACTTTGCAGTTAAAAAACATTCTGAAAAACCACTGAACTGGCTCGGTGCCTGTGGCTCAACCGGCTAGGGCGCCAGCCACATACACCTGAGGTGGCGGGTTCGAGCCCCAGCCCGGACCCGCCAAACAACAATGACGGCTGCAACCAAAAAA